TGCATGTACTTCTGAATACTTAAGTATTTTCAAAAGTAAGTACTTCAGTACTTTTACTTGAGTAGATTTTTGACTGAGTAACTTTTACTTGTAGTGGAGTAGATTTGACCATGAGTATCAATACTTTTACTCAAGTACTAGAGTTGAGTACTTTGTCCACCACTGGAAAAGACTAACTTTTACCAAAGTATTTTTATAATAAGATACTTGTACTTTTACTCAAGTATCACTTTGAGGTACTTTATACAACACTGGTACACACTGAAGCCAAAATGGGTTTTTATTCTCAATAGGTTCAATTTTAGGAACGTTGTGGACTTTTATTGTGAAAAGACAGACTGAGCATCACGTCTGTGAGCTCAGGTCTGAGTCAGAGAGCTTCCTGTGACCTCTGCAGGCTCTGTTTGATGGTGATGATGGTGAGGAAGGTTTCTGTAAAAACAGATGAGGATGATGAAGATGCACAGCTGCTCAGAATCCAGAATGAGTGTTTGGGCCTGCGAGGAGGGGACGCCACATGTCCTATTAAACTGTGATGATCCTCCTCCTCGTCCTGGTTTCACGTCCGGCTCTTTAGGGCCTTAACGGGAGTCGGTGGCGCCGCCGCGTCACGCCGCTCTTCGTCACAGCAGGACGGTAATTCCTGCTGCCAGTTGGCCTCCTCTTTTATGTACGAGCCGCCGTTTGTGATGTCCTTGTTTACGTCCAGATGTTTGTGGCCGAGCCGCCGGTTGTGTTTTATTCAAAAGACGTGAGAGCGCGAGGCGCCGCAGAGAACCAGCTAATGGGAGGAGGTGACGAGCGAGGAAGAGGAGGGGCAGATGGTGCTTCAAATGGCAGATTTGTCTGAGATGTCGTCTCATTTAGAAGCTGTCACATCGGTTCACATCACAGCGGAGAGTCGGAGGTCAGAGATGTTTGTTACGTTTGCTCATTTGAACAAAAACGTAAATCTGAGACCCTRAACTTCCTTCAGACTGACGCAAAGTCCAGTTTGAATCTTCAAAAACACGAGAAAACTTTAAGAGTTATAGAAAATAAACCAGGATGTCAGAGACAAGAGAAAAAGTCCAGCTCAGTTTGCAGATTCATACACCTTTCAAAATAAAAGCCCTTGGGCAATATGATGTAAAATCAACTTTTTTGAGTTTTATGTCGTGTTATAATGTTATACTCTCATAAAAACATGTCCAAAGCCTTGCTCTGACTCATTCATCATGTTTGAGAAATCCTGCAGTGTTTTTA